CGCCCGCAGAAACGACGCGCGAGAACAAGGGGTGAGGGGGACGCCGCACACACAGCGGCGCGGCCCAGAGGCTCCAGGCTCACGGTCTGCAGCCGAGCCCGGCTCGCGGCCCGCGGTGACCCCGATAAGCGTCCAGGCCGCCGCACCGTCCGCGTCGGCTGCGGAGCCCAGACCCAGACCCTCACCTACCTGGTTAAACTCTTCGCCCACATCCGCGTAAATGTCTATGTGGTCCACACCGTCCGCCATCTTCCCTCGGCCTTGGGCGCCGCCGCCGCCGCCGCCGCCTCCTGCAGGTCGGCCCGCCTAGGCAGCAGCAGCGGATCTGGCGGAGAGGGGCGGGGCGCCATACGTCACTTCCGAGGGGCGGAGACGAGGACGCAGCGGCCCAGTAGAGGCAGAATGGGGACCCGGAGAGGACACTGCGGCTCCGAGGGCGCTAACTAGTTCTTTTGTGTGCCGGGTTAAGCGGCAGGTTGGCGGGGAGGCACAGGAAATTAACATCCCTCATGCCCGGGGAACCCGCTGGTTTCCGGAGACGATCTTTTCCAACTGTTTCCTACACTTTCTTTTTTAAAATATTTTATGTTTTCAGTTTTCCCTTTTTTTCTTTTTTTTTTCTTTTTGCTTCCAGACGTGGGAGTTATGTGTGCACAATTAAAAACAAAATGTGATGTCCAGGGCAATGTCTTATTTCTGCTTCTTCAGACAACCGAATTTTGTGGTGGCCTTGAGTTATTTGTATATTTCATGCTTGCTTCCCTCATCTTTATGTAGTTGTAAGCATCTTTTCGCTTCTTCCCTCGTCCTCCTTCCTCTCCCAGTGCGCTTGCTTTCTTTCCTCTTTATGACTGCAGGACGTTTTCTCAGGCAAGTCTTCCAAGGCTTCTAACTTAATTTTAGAGGTCATACAACCAAGTAAACATATCTTAAATCTAGGCATTCCTGGATTCAGAATGCTGAACTAGAAGGGAGATTAATAAGGTGTCCTTGGGTCCAAACATCCCATTTTACAGATAGAGAACTAAGGTTGCCTCATAAAGGTTCATGCCCTTTGACACCAGTATGTGATTCAGATCCATTTCCAAGGGACCAACCCATTTCTTTCCTTCCCATTGAAATACTCACCAGGCCTAGTGATGTGATGTCTGTCCCTCAGCAGGTAAAGAGCCTGGCTGTGAAACCAGATAAATTCAGTCCCTAGCTCTCCGAGAAAAGAGAAAACCGACTCCAGTTTAGTCCTCCATGTAACACCTCTGGCTACCATCACCTCAACCCCCAGCCCTTCCGACAAATAAATAAATATTACTTATTTATTAAAAAGGGAAGGCACCAGATGCAGATTGGTCTGAAATCATCAATAAACCAAGTAACATCTGTTCTTGTTATGGCTGTTAAAGCTTGGTTGCTGCTGGGCGGTGGGGGCACATGCCCTTAATACCTGCATTTAGGAGGCATAGGCAGGTGGATCTTGTGAGTTTGAAACCAGCCTGCTCTACAAAGTGAGTTCCAGGACAGTCAGGGCCACACAGAGAAACGCTCAAAAAAAAAAAAAAAAAAAAAAAGACTGAGGATTTTTCAAATGTAACTTCAGAGTACTTTCTTACTTGACAATTTTCAAATTTTGAAAGACTAGTGTAAACTAGAAAGAAAAAAATAACTAGCTCTTATAGGTTTACTCATTTGCTTATTTTGGGTGTGCACGTGTTTGTGGATAGATCCATTCCATGGCTCATGTATAAAAGACAGCTTGGGAACAGTGGTGATGCACGCCCCTTTAATTCCAGCACTCGGGAGATAGAGGTAGGCGAATCTCTGTGAGTTCAAGGCCAGCCTGGTCTACAAGACCTAGATCCAGGACAGGCTCCAAAGCTACAAAGAGACCCTGTCTCGAAAAACAAAAAATAAAAAAGAAAAAAGAAGACTGCTTTGGGTGTCATTTCTCTCCTTTCACTGGATGGATCCTTGGAATCAAACTTAGGTAAATGCTGCCAACAGGTGGCTTTACCTACTGAGCCATCTCATGGTCCCCTAGCACTTATTTAGCATCTTCTACATAGCAGCCTTTTTATTAGACATTTAACGGTCACTATGTCTGTAGATGAAAAATTGGATGGAGACTTGGAATTTTGTCATGGCTCAATGCTGAGTAGCCAGATAACCCTTAGACAAGTCTTTGATCTCAAATTTTGTTTTTTGTTTGTTTTATTTTGGGGAACAGGGTTTCTGTGTAGCCTTGGTTGTCCTGGAACTCCTTCTGTAAACCAGATAGGCCTCAAACTCAGAGATCTGAGAGATTCTGCCTCACAAATGTTGGGATTAAAGGAGTATGACACCATGCTCAACTCTCATCATAATTTCTTGATGGAAGTTCTAAAATCTTTTTGTCTCAAGTCTGCAAGAACAGAAAGTCCAAATGTCTTTAGAAGAAGTTCAACAATAGCCAGTTGCATGCTGCACACAAAATTGCCTTTTATCTCCCTATGCTAGTCTCTTCTTGTTACTGTAGCAACTTAGTAACAATGTCGGGGACCTGAAACAACACAGATAATCCAACAGTTCTAGAGGTCAGAGGTCCAATATAAGTTTTACAAAGCTCTTCCAATTACCTTTTCTGTTGCTGTAATAAACACTCTGACCAAAAGCCATTCAGGGAACCAAAGGTATTGGTGTTCTTTAGTGTAACAGATAGATAGATAGATAGATAGATAGATAGATAGATAGATAGATAGA